CTTTTTTTATGTTGACATCTTGGACTAATTTGAAATTTATGTTAGTGTAAGAGGCAAAATAGAGGTTTGGCTGTTTTTGCCCCCCAAATGGCAAGCTTATGAATAACCTACTTTTTCCCAAGGGATCTGAAATATCCTTTATCAAATATTCTATTTATACACACATAAATTTGTCTGTGCAAGGATACATGTATTTCCTACTAGTCTTCGGGGCCCACATTCTCTTTGATTTTCTATTCTTTTATCATACATTTTATTGTAAATTCACAAGTTTCAACAGTGGGTAGAGCTCACTCCTTGCATCTCTTTTTCATATTTTCTTCTATTCTTGCCAGTTTTTTTAAATTAGATTTTTAAGAGTAATTTCCTCAAATTCTCTCCCCACCACAAGCCCTGTTGTACTTGATTTCAATGAGTTTAGCTTAACACGGAGAAAAATCACATTTTGGCAGTATTTCCCCAGATATAGTCCAATTCATTTAGCAAAACAAAAAACCAAAACAAAACAAAACCTTTTGGCTTTCCGTGGAGCTTTTTTTTTTCCACATTGTATTTTTTTGCTTATTGCTGGCGTTCAGAAAAGCTTTTGGGTTCTGTGTATTCTTCTTCTATGAATGCCGTAAAAGTGCCATAAATTGCATGGTTTAAAACAAGTGATTATCTCACATTTCTAGAAACTAGAAGTCCCAAGTCAAGGTGTCCTCATGGCTGTGTCTCCTCAAGGCTCTAAGCAAAATGTGTTCTGTGCCTTTCCCTGAGCTTCTACACCACGGGGGCGTCCTTGGCTTATAGCTGTGTAGCTGCTGTCTTCAGATGCCTTCCTTATGTCTCGGTATTTCATTCTTATTGGGACACTAGTCATTACCCTGTAACTTCACCTTTATTTCTCCAAGGACCTTATTTCCAACACAGTTCCTTTTTCAGATTCTAGGGTTTAGGACTACATGTATTATTGAGCAGCATTAATTCAACCCCAGTAATTCTGAACATTTTATAAGTATCCAAGTTCATTTCTTGATTGCTTCTGATTATTTCACAAATGACTCTTGTTTCTCAGTACCATCTGGATATAATGTAAATGTTTCTTTTCCAGTATGTATTTTTCTTTATTTTATTGGTCTTTTTTGAGACAGGGCTTCACTATGCAGTTCAGGCTGGACTTGAACTCACTTTGTAGCCCAGGGTGGCCTCAGACTCAGCAGAGATTCTCCTGCCTCCATCTCCCTAGTGCTGCTGCTTATTTTTTTCTTTTTATCTAATCCCACAAGCTGGTATGCCATGACATCTAGCAACAGGTAGAAGGTATTCATTATTTTAAAAAATTGTTTCATTGTAAAATTAGAATCTGATTACTATTAGAACATTTAAAAACACCATCCACTTGTTTCTTCTTTGTTAAGTATGTTTTCAGCCTTTGTCTACTTTTTATTCTGAGGAAGTTTTCCAATTTCAAAGAGTTCTTTGTGCATTACAAACCTTAATCTCTTGTGACTCACTAAAAATACTTACCCACAAGACCTTAAAAACATCCTGTCATCTACCCAGCAGTCAATAGAAACAAAATATAAAAAAAGGTACAGGTATACCGTGACCTAAATTATAACTTTCTGTGCAACAGTCCAGTACATGAACAAATCTTCACACTGTAAGGGTAGTAAGATGAGTAATGGAGTACAGTGAAGGTTCTTATGAAGCACTCTTGAAAATTTCAAGTACACACACTTATAATTTGTTTCATAGTATACCATTCCTAAACCATTTAATTTCTTTGTAGCGAAACACCCAAAGGAGCTTCAAGGACAAAATGATCGGATTAACTCTTTTGTACCAAAGGCTCTACAGAGTTTGCTGTCCTGCACGTCAAGTTCACTGACATTTAAAGACCCCAATTTGCTATCGAAGAAAGGATTAATCTGTCCTTGGTTTATCTAAATGATCAAATAATAAGATCTAAGTGATAACCAGCTGTAGGATATGTCCTTATTAAACCTGATAGGATATTTTAAAAGTCAAGTAATGTAATGAAGTTTGCAAAATGATTTAAACAGGTTTGACTGCTCAATTTGGAAGAAATTCAGTGCCCAGGTATGACACAAAGGCAATTTTAAATATTAAGCTCTGCTTGCTGCTGATCAGAAAGCTGAGATGTTAAATGAACATTACATTGTTTTAGCTATTATTACTTATAAACTAAATATGTACTGATTTTAGTGATTCCTCCCATCCCCAAGATCCAACCTTCTTTCTGAAGGAGCTGTTTCCATCACTTACCCACACAACATAGGATGGAGGAAACCCAGTTCTTGGGTACTGATAATAGAACATGTCTCAGAAGCTCAACTGGAAAGTCTGTCCAGAACCACAGCGGGGCCACTATACTAGGACTGCTCTCCTCACCAGCTAAGAAATATGTAAAGATGCCAGGACCTTGAATGCACACAATAGGAAAAGCAGCATGCATTTGGTCACTCCATGCATCCCAAATTATCTTCTTTCAGCTGTTCACTTTGTCACTTCGAAATGATGCACTTTTTATTATACAAAGAAATACAGGTAAGTCAGCTCTACCACGCAAAGCTGTCACTTGGATGCCTTGGTTTTGCCTATCTTCTCTTTGGAATCATTGTGTTTGTCTGTGCCAGAACTGAAAGGCATGTTACAAATGCGGAATGATACTAGATGCTTCATACCTGTAATGTGTGTAACTTTGCACACATTCACTGAGTCAACTGAATATGTAGATACAAACATTCATCATATATGAAATTCATACACACAGACTTTTCATAAATAGAATACTATTGTGTTAGAGCAGTGTTCTGTATAACCTAGTAGTATGTGCAGTGAAATCAATGTATGATCATGATCACTATTAAAAAGAACAGAAAACAGAAAAATTGTTCATACTAAGAATATATGTTGTTTTATGCACAAAATGAGTCATAATGAAAAATATATTTCTTGTTTTGGCTTCTGATCAAAACAGTTTTAAACGTACCATATTTTAAGTGTGTTAGTAATGTGACACAATTCTTAGCATCCTTTCACTCCAGAGGCTACAGATATTCTTTATTTTAATTCTCAAGCTACAAATGTTAATTGAGCAACTGTTATATATTGGTTGGCTAGTGGGGCAGTGAGAGAAAAGCAAAATTAGATTTGTTAATTTTTTTTTTTTTTTAACCTAGTGTTACATAGCTGTAAGGTGTTAAGAAAATGTTTTTCAGCAACCAAGATTTGGGGCCTAGTTGAAAAACTTCTCTTCAAAATTTTTCTGGAAAGACAAATACATTTTACTTTTTCAATGTTCTGTTCTTTTCAAGCTTTAGTCAAGCAACCAATATATGAAATTAGGTAGAAGGCTGAAATGAGATGCTATACATTTTATAAAACAGTAAAAAAAATGCAAATGAAATCCTTCTAGAAATATACCCCTCCCCTCAAGAAAAAAGCCAATCAGCTGTTGTGGTGTTTATTTAAGCCACAAAACAATCCAGTCTCAATTCTCTTGATACTCAAATCTCTAATACTGAGCATTATTGTCAAGTTTTATACTGTAATTATAGCTAGTTTTTATTTTCTCCCAATCCAAATTCTTTTAAATGGCATATAAGGTATTTTGAGATAATATTCCAATTCAGAAATGCATCTGACATGTTATTCTTTGAGAAAGTACTATTTGGTATGTAATAAAGAAGATAATTCTGTGGTTTATAAGAGCACAGCCTTTACAAAAAAACATAAAGCATTTATTTTTTGTTTTTCCTGATCCTGACAGATTCCACACATAGTATATATGTGTTATGGACTCCAGTGATCATCTGAAACTTCCAAAATCAGATCAGTACTTTTTGTAGTGAAAGTCCAAGTGCTCTTTTCTTTTTTTCTGTCTCTTTCTCCCTCACTTTCTCCCTCCCTCCCTTCATTCCTTCCTTTTTCTTCTACTTGTGAACTTTTAAATTTAAATGTTCTTTAATGTCAGGGACAGAGCACAGCAGCACAGCAGCACCTGCCCGGGCATCTGCTAAATCCCAAGTTTGATTCTCCAACACCAAGGGAAAAAAAAGAAAAGTTCTGTAAGCCAGGCACGGTACTGCACGGCTGTAATTCCAGCAGTTGAGAGGCTGAGGTAAGAGGATTGACCTACGTTTGAGTCTAGCCTGGGATACACAGTGAGTTCAAGGCCAGCCTGAACTACACAGCAGGATCCTGTCTCAAACAAAACAAACCAAACCAAAAACAAATAGTTATTTTAAAATATTTGGTGCTTTATTATATTAATGCTAATTATATTAATTAGGCTCAAGGTTCACCTACTTGTTCTAGGTATAATATACAAAACACTAGGGGCTGGGGATTTAGCTCAGTGGCATAAGCACCTGCCTTGCAAGCAGGCGGTCATGAGTTCGATCCCCAGTACCGATAAAAAAAAAAAAAAGTTTAAAAAAAAATATACAAAACACTAAGTAGAAAATAAATGATTAGGTAATAGATTTACAATTTTTCCCCTTGTTTTTAAGACAAGGTCTTGCTGTGTTGTCCAGGATAGCCTCGAATTCACAGCAATCCCCTGCCTTAGCCTCTGGAAAGCTGGGTAGGAGTATTTAAACTGTGGAAATTGACAAAAGCTGCAAATCAAAGGCTCCTCTACTATTCTGAAGAGTCTCTAAACATTTTCTAGCATATCACTACAGTAGCTATTATTCTCTTACAATATAATTCAATTCTTCTTAGTTCATAATAAGCTTACTTGAAGACCTAAACAGATGGTATATAAATTTGTCTTTCATTAAAATATTTACACAGAATTTGTTTATGGTATTAGAAATGTTATACTCTCATTGTGAAGGAATAACTATATGAGTTGTTCTTTACTTATCAGGGTTGTATTCCATTCAAAATAAACTGCTTAACGTGTGGCTATTTTTTAACCTAAGAAAAATCTATCTATAACTCATTCCAAGCTTATAAAACAAAATATTTCAAAAGAAATACACACATTTTAGTTATCTGCCAAAAATGTCTGATTTAATGTTAATTAAAATTTTGTAAGGTATGAAATAAACAATTTTATTAGATGAACTCATTTATTTGATACATTAAATTACGCAAAGAAAAATATTTTCAACTGCATACAAAGAATTACATTCACATATTTCTCAAACACCCAGCGGTGGTAAAAATAATGAACTGTAGAATGGCCCCCAGGATTTAATGCAAAAACACCGTACAGAAAAGTTTCAGGCTTCTAATTTCACTGAATCCAAAACTACACGTGCTTCTTTATATTCCTCAGCTTCTTCCAAATCTTTTTCACTTTCCTAAAATGAAATACAATGGAAATTAGGTTTATCTTTGAAAAGTCATTACTTTGTTACTTACCTAATTACAAAGTATTAATGGAAACAACTCAGGAATCTACAGGAAAAAGGGGCCTAAGCCTCTTCTAAATGTGCCGCAGTTCTGTTACTACAATACAGAGAGGCAAGAAATAACAGGTTTTGTTTCTCACTGCATATTTTCATGCAATATATTCTCATAATGATTAATGTCATTGAAAATAGTAATTAAAAAATCTTTTTCTCAAAAACTGAAAGAATTTTTATTCTCATTTTGTCAATGTATCTATCACCATACAAAAAAGATTATTATTAATAAAAGGAAGATTTACTACTGTTCTGCAAGTATGATAGCACTTAGGTAAAAATAATGCTCCCCAGTATTCACAATTTCAGAGAGGACTACACTAGAGTTAAAACACTCTTTGAATTAGAAAAGTGAGCTATGTTTGTTAATGAGTATTACATACCCTACATCAACATATTATATAGGAGGGACCGGGGATTTAGCTCAGTGGCGTAAGTGCCTGCCTGGCAAGTGCAAAGTTGTAAGTTTCATCTCCAGTACCAAAAAAATATTACATAGGATACGTAATTAGTTATAATTAGTATTACATATCCTATATCAATGAAATACTAACATCCTTCATTTTCTTATATTTAAACACTGAGTATTCCATGATACTTATATATAAGAAACTTTAATATTTTGTGATGGTAACAGACAAATAATATCTAAATTATTTATATAGAAAAATTTTACCTTTATAGTTTTAATTTAAATTGATTTTACAGTTTCAAGTGACATTATAATTCATGCCAAGCAGCAAAAGATGGAGATAGTTATAAAGAGGATATAAGTGTATATTTAGTATAAAACTTTAAAATCAAAAAGCTAACAACTTGCTTAACTCAGACAACAGATAAGAATTTCTTAAACCTGTATGTTACACTTTAAACATGTCTACATATTCTGTTAGTAAATTTAAGCCCTCTGAGGGTGCAGTTATTGTTGACCATATCCTCATGCACATTAATACACCATCTGATGATTTTTTTCCAAACTAATCACATTACTTTCTCAGGTATGAGATTCATCAAAGAAAGACAAAGCATTTAAATTCTTCTTTTTTCTTTTTTAATTGGTACTGGGGATCGAATTCATGACTGCCTGCTTGCAAGGCAGGTGCTTATGCCACTGAGCTAAATCCCCAGCCTCAAAGCATTTAAATTCTTAGGAAATACAAATGGTGCTTTATATGTAGGTTTGTTTTGTTTTTGTCTTTAGTGGTGTCGGGAACAGAACCCAGGCTCTCATACATTAAAGGCAAGAACTCTGCCACTAAATCACCTCCCCAGGCCCTTATATAATATTTTAATTCAGTAATTATTTTTCTATCTTCTGTTACAAAATCTGGCTTCTGTTTCAGCTCATAACTATCACGTGTTTAAGTTTTGCATTGGTAACTATGGAATTCTGTGTCAAAATTACTTTCTTTTTCCACAGATATCCTAATTTGATGAGAAAACAAATCCCACTGTCTTTCAGTCATTACACAGGATTATACAGAAAAGGCCTTATTTTTGTCACCTCGGGAAATGACTAATGAATCAGGAAAAACAACCGCTTACATACTAAATAATATCAGCTTAAGAAATGCAAATGTAAAATAAGATTAGTAAGGAACTGTTGGAATTCATCAACCATCAAATGGCAACAACTGCTTACATAAAATACTATGATTTTATTATTTTTAATTTTTTTGGTACTAGGAATTGAACTCAAGTCCTTGTGCTTACCAGACAGGTGGGAATATAGCTCAGTGGCAAGGCACCTGCCTGGCAAGCCCAAGGTTGTGAGCTCAATTCCCAGTACCAAAAAACCCCAACCAACCAACCAACCAACCAAACAAACAAACAAACAAAAAACCCTTCTGATTTTCTATTAAATACAGCTTTTATTTATGGTTAGAATTGCCAAGGATATAGCTCAGCAGCATCAGTGCCTGCCTGGAAAGCACATGGTCATGAGTTCAGTTCTTGGTACCTCCTACCAAATATGCGTTCTTATCTTTAAGAGATAGTTAGAATCATTTATAAGCTGAGTTAATCACTATATCACAAACCACTTATACCACTAAGATGATAATACGCTTACCTACCTCCAAGTTTTTATAGCTGCTGTCCACATTACCTTTATTTCCTCCTCTTTCTCAAACTGACTTAAGAATCTGAAAGAGTTCCAGATCCTTGCAATAAAGAGCCCAGATTCATTTAAAACACTGAATCCTTTTAAACTTCAACTTACTGTTAATGTCCAAAAAATTCTTATGTATGAAAAGCAAATCATTTAAGATATTGCTGAACAATACCTTACTATGGATACCTGGTATAATAACTCAAAGCTTAGTAAAGTTAAGAAAGTAGAATAAATATGCTAGAAAACTATTTTTACTGAGGTCACCACTCAAAACATTTATAATTCATTAATATACTGGTATACAGGGGTAGTGAATTAAGAATGTGTCTAGTTAAATAATAAATATTTAAAATCTTGACTCTCAATGTGTTAGTTTGAAAAAAATTTAATCTAAGACATGAAAAACCTTTACTTACTAATATTTGCTGAAGATCAGTGTATGCTGCCTCTAACCTGCGTTGGCAATCAGGGATCATCATCCGGGACTCCTGCAGGATCTCTGCCTATAACAAGAATATCTATGAGACGTGTAGAAATGACAGAACTGTATTTGTTTAGCGCAAACCTTGGTAAATACCTAGTAATTAAATGGCTGAATATTTTAATTTAAATTGTATTTACCAGAAGTCAGAAAGACTATGCTATCATAGAATACAAAGTACAAGTTTTAGAACTTGTAATAAACTTTTTTTTTGTAACCACCTTCTCATGGTAAGTGAAAATTAACTGGAAAAGCTTTTCATACAGCATTTATTTAAAAAGGCCATTTAAAATAAACTATGTCCCCCACTGTCACAAAGCACCTTTATCCAAAATGGGATCAGCTGGTTATATAAATCTCTCCTGCATCTTTTGAGTAACAAAGAAAAACAGTGTTCAGATAATACCACATGGAGATAATTACTGCATGAGAAAAGTTTATTGAGTTATTGATCACATTGTGTGCACACTGCAGGAGGTTCTCACTGAAAGACAGAGGTAAAGAAAAATGAAAAGCAAAGACCAGCAGGTTCATATTTTTGACGCTTATCATGCATAAAAAGTCATTACTTATCCTTGAGCTTCATTTTAGAAGAGAGATTACTCTCCCCATGCAGTTCGAGCCAAGTTACTAACGTGGCACCGCTCTGGATCTGCGCTTCCTGCCTATTCCTCTTGAAGACAAACATTACAGAATTAAACACAGGAATATTTATTTATATAGTCTAGAGGATACTTTTGGATTTAAATCCCACTATTCAAAGCTGGACTGTAACATATCAGATCATAAAAAACAAAACAAAAAAATCCCCCCAAAATAAAAAACAGAATCAATGACTGGAAAATCCAAGTCAGTGTCAGATGTAGCACAGAAAATAAGTAAGACTTCTTAAGATAGCGAGAAGTCTTATTTCCTTAAACTAGACTCAAATACAATCTTAACATTTATTTCCAAAAAACAAAGTTTGATCAAATAGCTTCTGAGAAATAGGTACAAAATCTGAAGATTTATTAAGTGGCTCACACAAAATAAAAAGATATAATTTAATGATAATATTGTAATACTGTATTTTAATAGAAACCTTTATAAAGATCTGTACTTTCTTTTCTTCCTCAATGGTTTTGTCAAAGCTCACTATAAACAAAATCAGAATTATGGTGTACAAGGATGTTCTCATACCTATTCTCTCAGGCAGAAATGGATTGCTGAATTCACAACTCTTACTAATAAGGCACAGGCTGAACTTTTCAGACTTAGGACTGTGACTTTACTTTCAGAGCTTATCATGCTTGCCAGACATTTAATCACTGGCACTAAATTGTTTTTGTATTTCTGGTTAGTTCAAACACATGTGAAAAGTCAGTAACACGAACACTTTAGATTTCTTCTCCTGTGGAATTCTTTTGGAATAACTTACATAAATATAATAAGATGAAATCAAATACAAATGATCAGGTCAAATTCATGATGTCAAGTGAATATTTATAAAATTTTTTGGAAAGCTTCAGTGTTACTGAAATGAACCTTAAAGCTCTCCGAAATAACTTCTATTCATTATTGTTCTGTTATTATAAAATAAGCATCTTTAGTTTATCAAAATGAGATTCTAACTTATGCAGGGACAATGTTTAATCTCTAAGATCAATCCCAATTCATTCAGTGAATTTACACTGCACCCTCTATAGTAACATGTTCTACATCTGCAGATTCAACAATGAGCTGAAAATAATTTTTAAAAAATTGTATCTGGGTTCAAGTCCAGCCTGAACTACAGAGCGAGACTCTGTCTCAAAACAACAAACCAAACAAAAAACAAATCCAAAACAAAAACTGCATCTGTATTGAACATATGCAAACTTTTCCCCTTGTTATTTATCCCCTGGACAACAGAGCATAAAACTGACACATAAAACTCACTGTATTAGCTACAGAAATACTGAGCAACCCAGGTTTCTGGTATCTGTGCGAGGGTACTGGGGACAGTCCCTCAAAGACACTGAAGGATGGCTGCGTATCTGCAGGTCAGCACAGGGAATACAAAAATGAAGAAGAGCCATCTGTTCTCCAATCCAGAACAGTATTAAGTATGAAAACAAGTATTTGACACTGCTTCAGAAAGACCATGCCACAAAAAGCCAAAGAAACACAATGATAAAAGTTTGACCTGTGTACCACTAATCATACCTCCACCAAAGCTACAAATCAATGAATTGTGGCAATGAATTAAAATGGACAGGAATAATTTTACAAAAGAAAATTGCATGAGATGTGGGGGTGACAACACACCTTGAAATACCTGAACTTAACTAAATGTACATTATCTTTCAAAGGAGACAGGCACTAAAATGGATGGTGTCTCTCATTAAAATATTTTAATAAACTGGCAGTTTATTCTAATATTGGTCATGCCAAATCTGAGGTAAACTCAGGGTCTTGGCATGGATTGGGAAGTATAATGAACATTAGGGGAATAAACAGGATGTAGTCTCATTGAAGTCTAAACAATGATTAAACTGCTGAACTTAAATATCTGATCAATTTCCTTAATAGCTAAACATATATAAATGGGGAAGAAAATGCCTAACTTTCATTTTTTCAGAATGAAGAGCTCTGTGGAATAGTCTGTCCACTATTAAGTTCTTTGACCACTACAGGATTGGGACAAGGTTTGAGTGGCTTTAATTCAATTGTCTGTAATACTGGATATTGGCTCCTCTTAAACCAATGGCAACTGCATTAGTTTGGTAGACTGAACCAGAGCGATCACAGAATACCAGACTTACAAGGAAGCAAAATGTTATATGCTCACATGTCAAAAATTCCATTTGATTTGTGCTTTGTGGTTTCTGCTGAAGTTATGATTATAAGAATCCCACTGATTAAAAATCATTTGGGTTGTTAAGTTTTAATGTATCACTAGTTACTCTGAATATAAATGGTGCAAATACATCTGTTAAGAGAAATATGAACTGACTAAATGATATGACCCAACCAAATGATACCTACAAGAAACTCACTTTAAACAATGAAACATAAAAAAATGAAGGGTGGAAAAAGGTATACAATGCAAACATTAACTTTAAAAAAGCATATGCAGAAAGACCAAGATGATGGAGAGGTAACCAGAAGAGAAAGAGCCTCTCCTGAGAGCTGCTGTCCAGATGCTGGACACGATGCTGTCCAGATGCTGCAACAAGAAGAAGACAAGGAGGAAGGTGGGTCCACTGGACCTAGAAAAAAATCTGAAGAGTGCATTGAAGCCCACAGAGAGAATGAAGAGAGAAACTTCAATGAAGACAGAGGAGGAGGCCTATGGTGTATTCTCCCTGAGACAGGACTCACTATGCAAGAGGAGTGATTTCAACCTTGTGGATAGATGGTGACAGCTGGTGATCCCAAAGGCCTCCATGAAGAGATGCAGTGGTGGAGGGGAGCAGCAGGCATGAAGGACTGCACTACCTGGTAGTGAGTGTTTGAGGGCTGAGTTCCCTTCCTCCCACTTGACAGTGACTCACTGGGAGCCACCTAGGAGAGAAGCCACCCGAGCTCTCGGAACTCAGAATGCTGCCTGCTCCATCTAGTGGCTTCCAGCTAGGCTCATTTCTATGCAAGATGCACCAACAGCTGTAAATTGAATGAGTCCTCTTTCAGCCAGAAGGTACAGGTTCCCCATCTCTCTCATTTGTTTTTTGTTGTGGCTTGTTTTTTTTCTCTCCTTCATTGTCTGATCTTGTTTTTGTATGAGTGTGAATGTGGTTTCTAGCCTCTTTGTGACTGTGGTCCTGTTATATTCTTTTTATCTCTTCCTTCTCTTTGCTTCCAGTCTTCTGCACCAGTTTCTCAAAGTTGGTGTGACCCACCTTTGTCTTCCAACCTAACTCTGATCTCTTCTTTCACTTCTCTATTTTCTCCCTAACCTATTTTAAATGTTAACCCTGAGGACAAAATTGGCATATTAAGGACTTGTATACTGCATATAATTTGCTGCTTTGTTTTAGATTTTGTTATATAATCACAAGTTTAGTTCCCATGGTTAATGGTGGCAAATTAGCTCAGTTAGCTCAGTGTGTTATTTTCTTTTTTTTTTTTTCAATTTTTTTTTTTGTCTTTTTTCGTTTTTTTATCGGTACCAGGGATCGAACTCACAACTGCCTGCTTGAAGGCAGGCGCTTATGCCGCTGAGCTAAATCCCCAGCCCCAGTGTGTTATTTTCTAGGTTGTGTTTGATGCTATTGTGATTGCTGATGATAGCACTATAGTCAAAAGTTAACATAATTATTCAAAACAGCTGTTCTTCCAGGCATTCTACGACTGAGTGACTAAGGGTCACAGAACTACTGTGGCACAATGTGAAACAATCAGGGGCTAGGCTAAAAAGGCAGCAAATTCTAATTCCCAACAAAGTGAAGAGAAAGGATCTTCCAACAGACTCAAAACTCAAAAACCAAATAATTCTGTAAGATACTTTGGAGGAGTATTTATTTCCTTAGGATTCTAAATACTAGCAATAATGCAACTCACCATAGGCAATTTACAAGAATCACCCCAGGAATTAAACTAAAAACACAAAAGAAAATGAGAAGACACTTAAGATGCAACTCTAGATATTCAGCTTACCAAAGACAAACCGAGGGTGGGCAACGAAGTGATCTCCCAAAGCTACCACCTGGTCTCTCTAAAGTGGTAAAAACAAAGTAAATGAATAAGGTTCTAGAAAAAAATCAGAAATAACTTCTCAGATAACTATACATATGACTCCAAAATGAAAACTATGCTTCATGACTCTGGAGCAGATACAGAAAAAAAAAAAAAAAAAATACATGAGCTTAAGAAAATTGTGTAAGCCATGAATGCCCAGCATACAAAAGAAATGGAATTTATAAGGCAGATTCAAGCAGATATCCAGAAGAATAAAAACTCCATTGAAACTACTCAAAGTAGATTACGCCAATGTGAGGACAAAATCTCTGATATTGACAACAGGCTTGCAGTTAGTGACAAGGAAAAGAAAGATTTCTCAAA